ACCTTCAGTCACTTTTTATTTTCACTTCAAAACCTAGAATTTTGTAACTGGCATAAATATTTCCATTGCATCAAAAACAACAAAATACCTAGAAATAAACTTAACCAAGGAGGTTACCTATACTCTGAAAACTGTGAAACATTATTGAAGGAAACTGAAGATGATACAAAGAAATGGCAACTTATCTTGTGCTCTTGGATTGGAAGAACTAACATTATCAAAATGGCTGTTCTACCCAAAGCAATCTGCAGAGCCAACGCAAACCCAGTCATAGTACTCATGACATTTTTTTCAGAACTAGAACAAACAATTCCAAAAGTTACATGGAATCATAAAAGACCCCAAATGACCAAAGCAATCTTTTGTAGGTCTTTTTTTTTTTCCTCTTCCTTCTTTTTTTCTTTTCTTATGGTTTGATGACTAGAAAAGGTCCTTTAACATTTGTTGTAAAGCTGGTTTGGTGATGCTGAATTCTTTTAGCCTTTTTTTTTTAACCTGTAAATCTTTTGATTTCTCCATCAAATCTGAATGAGAGCCTTACTGGATAGACTGTTCTTTGTTGTAAGTTTTTCCCTTTCATCATTTTAAATACATCGTGCCACTCCCTTCTGGCTTGTAGAGTTTCTGCTGAAAAGTCAACTGCTAATCTTATGGGAGTTCCCTTGTGCGTTTTTGTTGCTTTTCTCCTGCTAATTTTAGTATTTTCTCCTTATTCGTAATTTTTTGTCAATTTTATTACTATGTGCCTTGGTGTGTTCCTCTTTGGGTTGATCCTGTGTGGAACTCTGCACTTCCTGGACTTGGGTGACTGTTTCCTTTCCCAAGTTGGGGAAATTTTTGGTTAGTATTTCTTCAAAAATTTTCTCAGGTCCTCTCTCTCTTCTCTTTCTGGGACCCCTATAATGCGAATATTAGTGTGCCTCATGTCTCAGAGTTCTCTTAAACTATCCTCATTTCTTTTCATTCTTTTTTCTTTTTTTCTGTTCTGCAGTAGTGATTTCCATGAATCTGTCTTCTACTTCATTGATCCAGTCTATTCTTGGTTCCTTCTAGTGTGTTATTCATTTCAGTGATTTTACTCTTCAACTCTGTTTGGGTATTCTTTATATTTTCCCAGCTCTTTGCCAAAAACTTCGCTCTGTGCATCTGTACTCCTCTTGAATTCTCTGAACCTCTTTGCCATCATTACTCTAAACCCTTTCTCAGATAAATTGCCTGTTTCCTCATCACTTATTTCTTCTTCTGGGATTTTATCTTCTGCCTTAGCCTGGGAGATATTTCTCTGCCGCCTCATATTGTTTATCTTTCTGTTTGTATTTTTAGGTAGGTTAGTTACGTTTCTTGACCTTGGAGAGGTGGCCCTCTGTGGGAGATGTCCGATGCGTCCCAGCAGTACACTCCTCTCTTGTCACCCAAGGGCCAGGGTCCAGCTGGTCCCAGTGTAGAGTCTGGCCTGTGTTTGTGGATTCCTTCCATAGGCTTTGGGATTGTTGTTTTCTTATTTCTAGTACCTGCCCCTGGTGGATGGGGCTGGATTAGAGGCTTATGCAGGGTTCCTGGCAGGAGGAACCAGTGCCTGCCCACTGCCGGGTGGAGCTGAGTCCTGGACCTCTGGTGGGTAGGGCCTTGTCTAGAGGTGTTTGTGGCTCAGGAAATCTGCTGATGGGTGGGGCTGTGTTCCCACCTAGTATGTTGTTTGGCCTGAGGCTTCCCAACGGGATGTTGGATGGGGCTAGGTCTTGGTGCTAATCATCCAGTGAAGATACCAGCCTTCAGGAAAGCTCATGTAGAGGAACACTCTCAGAATGTCTGCCACCAGCTTTTATGTCCCCTGGGTGAGCTGCAGCCATCCCCTACGTCCCCAGGAGACCTTCCAAAACCAGCAAGCAGGCCTGGCCCAGGTTCCCATGAAATCACTGCCTCTGCCCTTGGACCTGGCACATGCGTGGTTCTGTGCACACTTTCCAAGAGAATAAAGTCTCTGTTTCCCCACTCCCGTGGGGCTTCTGGAATTAAGCCCTGTTGGCGTTCAAAACCAGACGTCCTGGAGTCTCCTTCCCCTCCCAGTGCCGGAACCCCAGGCTGGAGATCCTGACATGGGGCTTAGAGCTCTCACTCCTGTGGGGGGGCCTCTGGAACCTGATTATTCTTCAGCTTGTGGGTCACCCACCCGGAGGTATGGGGCCCGATTGTATTGCGAGCACGCCCCTCCTGCCATCCTGACGTGGTTCTCTCTTTATGTTTCCAGTTGAAGATCATCTTTTTTGCTAGGTTCCTGTCTTTCTTCGATGGTTGTCTAGCAGTCAGTTGTGGTTTTGTTGTAGTCGCGAGGAGAGGCGAGCTCCTGGTCCTGCTACTCTGCCATCTTGACCAGTAATCCCCTAATCGGTCTTTGATTTCTTTCGTCAGTTTTGTAGTTTTCCTTATACAAATCTTATACATATTTTGTTAGACTTATAGCTAAGTATTTAGTTTTGGTGCTAATGGTAAATGGTATTGTGTTTTAAGTTTCAAATTCCAGTAGTTCATTGCTACCATATAGAAAAGCAATTGATTTTTGTATATTACCCTTGTATCTTGCAACCTTGCTATAATTGGTTATTAGTTCTTTTCTTTTTTGTTTTTAGCTAATTCTTTTGGATTTTCTACATAGATGATTATGTCATTTGCAGACTAAAAGAGTTTTAGTTTCTCCTCCTCAATCTGTATACCTTTTATTTCCTTTTCTTGGCTTGTTGCATTAGCTAGTACTGCCAGGGTAAGGATGAAAAGAAGTGAGGACAGGGGGTTTATCGTTGATTTTTAAAAAATTTTCTCAAATGTCACGTTTGACTTCCTCCCCTTCCCCATCTTGTCCTTGACAGCCTCAAACTTACTCTTCTCTTTCTGGCTTCATTTTTCTCTACAACAGTTGCCACCAGGTAGTATACTGCACATTTTCTTTGTGGTGTCTTTTGTCTGCTCCTGTCCACTCTTCCCTAGAATGTAAGTTCCACAAGGACAGGATTCTTGTCTGTTTTGTTCATCACTTTTTCCTCAGTGCCTGTCACATAGTAGGTGCTCAATAAGTAGTTGTTAAAATGGATGAATAAATTATGGTGTATATATAGTCAAAGTTAGATGGAATGTTGACTGAAATTTTCTTCTGCTTCCAGAGGTAATTATTTTTCTGATGGGCATGCTCCACCTGCCTGCTAATTACATTCCTCCCCTCTTTAGGTCATATATATTCTTAATTCCAGTGCTGGTTCTTTTCTTGTTATGAAACATCTGTGAGTGGGGACCATTCCCTCTGAACCAGATACTTAGGGAGGAGTGATCAGTCTGAGCTGGGAGCCTCTAGGATCTTCTTAGTAGGTGTGCAGCAGGTTAGCTGTGTCCTCCGCCCTGGGCCCTTGCCTGCTGTGGACCAGCCCCTTGGGGTGAAGCCCACATGTCATCAGTGACTTAGGTTTACAGACA